ACACACACACACACACACACACACACACACCCCGCATCCATGCGACAGTTAACAGTTTCAACCCTTCCTTCCTGAGGTTTCTCTTGTGTGGTAACATGAAAAAAGGAAAAATTTCCACATAACCCTGTTCGAAAGTGACCTAAAGATTTTCATCAGCAAATCTCCCCCAACAACAGAGAGAATTTCAATTCATTAAATTTTCTACACTTCTTTGTTCTTTGGTCTGCATTGTTTATGTACTTTGTCATTTTACTAATAAGCCTAAATAAGTGTATATTCACACACATATACAGTATGTCATTACCTCAAGCTGTGTGTCCCTTTCATCCACCAGGCGCTTGAGGTGGAAAGCCAGGTTTCTGGAGAGGCTGTCCAGATCCTCTGGAGGTATTTCACCACTTTCCAACCACTGCAGGTCCACTACATTTTCTTGGTTATGAGTCACCTAAAATTACCATCATATTGTCAATAAAGCTTTAGCGAATAGTGAATGTAACTGTGAACACCAGCTGAAAGGTTTAGCAAGGCTTATAACATTTTCTCTTTTGTGTTTGCTGTGGAGGAGAAATACCTCTTGGATATGTGATGCTATGGCAGCTTTGGTGTCAAAGTCCAGAGTCTGGATACGCTCAATGTACTCTTCCTTCTTCTCACACTGTAAACAGAGAGAGGAGGATGCAGGGGCAACAGTTAAATCTCTAAATCTTCAATGAGAGAAGAAGAGCACGATATTTGAGATGTGACATAGTCGATACGTTTAATTGGGGGTCCAGAGGAGGTTAGCAGGCCAACAATGTAAACATGAGCTGAGTGTATTCTTATACATCAGAAAGATGATAAGAGCAAAAACAGCTGAGACAGGCTCTTGAACTGAATAAGAAGATGCAAGAAGATGGAAAAATGTATTTTTTTATTTTTAATGAATAATTCTGATTAGAAGCTAGGCATCTGTGCATTTTAATGCAGCCTTGTGGTAGGCACATTATCAAGTCAGAGTTAAGTGCATGAACACAGGTGCAGCTTCATTTGAATAAACAATGGAGTTGGTGAAAGGTCAGTGGTTTTATCTGACGTGCAGTGAGTAAGAGCTGAATGCAGGCTTTGTCATAAGACAGGAAAAAGGTCTGCATTGTCATTCATTACACAGCGTTAGTTGTATCAGAGTTAAAGCTGGCAGTAAATCAAGGAAGACTGGACTAAACAGACTTAAACTCTTCCAAATGTGTTTTTTGGATTGAGAATTAAATTGCAAAAGTATGACCACTAAAAATGACACAAATAACAATGATATCTATTTGACCTCCTCATAAAATATCATCTTGAGTTGATAGTAGTCTTTTATGAACCTTCTTAGTCCATACTTTCACAGCAGCATGAAACCTGTATCAAATGCACTTATGTGGAGTGTTTAGGTCGCCTACACTGAGCTCTTACCTGGACAGCACAGCCTAGTAGCAACAGCAACAGTTTCTTCATCTCTTCCAGACCTTGTGCTGAAGGAAGACATAGGACACAGCAGGGGAATAACTTTAAATATGTCTGCATAAAAACCCAAACAAAATTCCTGTGGAAATCAAAGATCATTTGTTACGTGTGTCTTGTTACTCCAGTTTTTGTGGTTTATTAAGGAGTAAAAACACAGAGGTTAGTTAATTAGTGCTACTGATTGATGTTTTGTTGATAGCAGTGGAAGTATTTTCCGCAGCCTCTTCTCTTCACCACAACAAGCTCAGATTGATTGCATGATTTTTATTTTTTTCAATTAGTAATAAATTTATCTTAAGGTGTGTGTCCTTTGGAAACAGGGCTTCACACGACCAAATTCCCTGTAAAAATCAAGATGTAGTAGGTTCAGATTAAAACATCAGCTTCATCTTATTTTAAGACAGGAATAAAATCATTCCCACATTTACTTCCAACAAGCCTAAATTCCCATTTCCCCTTATAAAACCTTTCCTCAGATACAGTGACACGATGTTTTCCACAGCGCAGTAGGCTGGCAGGGTGAACACCCAGTACTTCCACATGTCAGGACATATTGTCAGAAACTGCTGAAACCCACAAACAGCTGCTTGCCTGCTCAACAGGCCTGAGCTCATCTGTGCGATTTGGGACTGAACAACAGCAAACCAGGTGGTGCATGTTTTTGTGTGTGTGTGTGTGTGTGTGTGTGTGTGTGTGTGTGTGTGTGTGTGTGTGTCACACACTGACTAAGTGGTATAGTTAATGCTAGTTAAGGGCATCTGTGTCTCTCTGTACTAAGACTGTGTTCCCCCAGTTGATAACCAGAGTGTGTGTGATAAGCCAGCTCATCCTGCAGCCCAAGGGGGCTAGCAAGGGCTAAAAATGTCCTGCTAAAACGATCATAAATCCAGATTAGTGACAGCATGTTCTCGATGTAGGGTGGTCTGCTTTATGGGCCAATCATCACAGCTAAACAGCAGGCATACACAAGGACAATTTTCATTGACAACTTTAATCTTCGTGGGACTTTCCAAATGACAAAAAAAGAGAGATTATAATGAGATGAATGAGTGATGAAAGTACTTTCATGAAGGACTGAAAAGTACATGTTGGAGTGGGTTGAGGTGGTTAAAAAAAGCTGTGGAAAGCAACAACTTAAGGGCATTTCACATACAGTGTGGATACAAACGGCACCTCTGAAATCCATACATTCACACAACCCGTAGAAATGCAGACTGGCAGGAAGCGAGCGCATACCATACACATAAAACTGTAAGTGGCCGCAAAAAATGACATGGTACAGACAGAGAACAGAGAACAGTGGTCAGCGTTTGCTTGGCCTAGCAGTCAGCACAGCACATGCTGCTTTCTATTTGAAAGAGCTTTTTAAAGCAACAGACACTGTTGTCGCTCCAGGATGGCAAAACAGAGACTCCCATTGCAAGTGTCTATTCAGTTATTTTACAGGTTTCTCTATACAAATCAATTATGCTTCATTCATCAGTCTTGAATCAGAGGCACAAAAGTCAATATTATTACAGAGTAGCCCTGAAGCTTTTGAGAAATTACCAGACATGTCAGAATGCAAATGAGTCAGATCAGATATTAAACTTAATCTCACAGCCCCCGTCTGTGTGACAGCCCCCGCCTCTCTGCCGGCTTGCACGTTGTGAAATATCACAGGTAATAATCCGGTGTGTTCGCTGCATCCTGCCTCTAGGATGCTCTCTCTCGGCATCCTTCCCCAAACCAAGTGGAATTTTGCCAACACCGAAAATCTATCTTGTGTGCCAACTGCTTGACAATGTCAGGACCCAACTGTGCCAACATTTGCAGCATTCATATGTGAGAAAATAACTTTCAGTTATGTTAAATATATAGTGAAGCAGGTCTCTTTTCCCCCCCTCTCTTTTTTGAGCATTCCAGCTAGTAGACCTGGAGCTTTGCAGCAGCCTTTTTCTTCTTTAGGCACTTATTATAGAGATGCTTCAATCATAATATGGAAATTCTCTTGTAATAGAATTTGTGCTGAAGCGCAACCAAGGAAATGAGTGGCAGGTTGTTGACAACTCAGAGGGAAACTTTCTAACCTTCTGGTATAGAAATCAGTCATAACAAGGTCAGGTGTTTTTCCACAAATCCACTGTGCGTGTGACCCAGATATGGCATGATGTCATGAAACATTTTAGAAAAAAAAAAATCAACTGAACATTTATGTCACTGCATTTTAAGTATATATTATCATTAATTAATAGTAAATACTCTTAACTCTTAATAACTGTCTCTAGAAAGTAACCAGTGCTGTTTTAAGAATGAATACTGAAGTGTGCTTAGTCAGTCACTCATTATGAAGCACACAAAAAAGTGAATTTGGGCCTAGGAGGGTGACAGATAAAACTAATTCTCAGAGCCACTGGGCTTAACAATAGTCTATTAGAGCCACAGGAACCTATTCTAGTCAGGGAAGGGATTTAGCTCAGCAAATCGACTGAAGCAACCAAGGAAAGATAAGGGGCCTCATAGGATAAATAATTTATACCATCAGAGAGAGCAACCGAGAGACAGAGAGAACAAGAGCGAGAAGCGGTAAAGAGGGAGAGATGAAAGGAAGAGACACAAAAGGAGGAAAGCACCACAGCGCACAAGCAACACAAACACAAGGGAAGAATATAGAAACACAGAAACCAAAAGAGACAGAGAGCAGGAGGAAGGCGAAAAGGCAAGGTTGAAAATAAAGAAAGAAATCTCCCTCCAGCAGCAAAGAGGTCGCCTTCAATCTCTGCTGGCTTTTTGTCCTCCATCACTCTCCTCCTCTCTTATCCAATCACTTCATCCACCCATTTATTCTTTGCAACACACATCCACCCATCCTTCCTTCCTACCATCCTCTAACATTGTTATAGAGGATCTGCACCTTCTGAGACTGAGCACACTCATCTAGGCTTCCTTTTTCACCACCTTTCCCTCCTCCCTCTTTTATCCTTTAGGCAGGAAACAAAAGGTCAGAAGGACAGTTACCAACCCTTCTTCCTGCAATGCCACAGCAGTGTGTGGGGAGGATGTGAGTCAATTATGAGGAAAAACAGAATTGTGTACTTCCATGCAAGCTCTGTCAGGACCCAATGGCATGCATGTCAGTAATAATACTGGTACATGCAATATGATATTGCTTTGACAAGGTGCCAGAGTCTATTCAACCCATCTCACTGGAGCAGAGGACAGGGCAGAGTTGACTAAACCTTACTTAGAGATCATTTTAGAGCAATTGTGCTTTACCCAGCATTTCCTGCACATAGATTTTATTCAGGCAGGCTACCCATTTATATTAATAGCCACCAATCCCCTAGCTCTCAGAGCTAACCCAACACTGGTTTCCTCTCCATCTACTCTGCTTATTATAGACGCACAACTGACCACAACATAGTAAAAATAGGCAGAACTTTTTTCCTCAGTTTCAGAGATTTTCATATCGGATTTTCTTGCTTAAATATATTAATTCATAAAATAAATATTTACACTATATAAGGTATTTTTGCACATGGTGAAGCAAAGTCCTATTTCAAATCTTATGCAAAGACAGTAAATTCACACAAATACACAGTGGGTGACACACAAACAGAGGTAAACGTGCATCTCCACAAAACGAAAATATTTCAGCCTCAGGAACACAAATAGTCTGAGTGCTCCTATACAGTGAGGACAGCCAAAGCACTGTGATCGATACTGATTTAGACCGGAAACTATTTTTATGCCTACACTTTTATGCCCCTCGTAGTTTACGTATAAGTTTTCAGCATAGAGTTAAAGAGGGCTTCAGATTATGGCGTTCTTCAATATAAGGGAGCATACTGTAGGTTTTAGAAATGCTCCAAAAACACTCCACTAATTTACCTTTACATTTTGTCTGATGATGACTCAATCAGCTTTGTTTTTGGCTGCTGTCAGTGAATAGCATTTTCCATTAGTAGGAGTGATGAAAAGAGGATTATAACTATAAAAGGCCACTCAATTTGCCCAAGGAAAGCAGCTATAGATTAGCTAAGATATTAGTGATGATAATTCACAGACTTTAAAACAGACTAAACAAAGGAGCTACTCTGTTTTTCTGACATGTGCACATAACCGTACTGACCAGACACTACTTGCATGCACAAGGGAGTGTTTGTCTGTACATATAACCCTGCATGTTTATGCAAGGGGAGCTAGGGTTAAACCAGAGCCTTGAGGGGGGTACTACAGTGCATTCCCACTGTTCACTGTTGTGAAGACACCCCTCCCCCATCCACCAAACACACATGCATGCACTCACACACATGGAGAGCTGTCCCCTGCCCCCCCTAATGGGAGCATAATAAAAGCCACATGGCCAATGACTTTCAGCTGGCAGTCACTGAGCCAGCAGCCAAGCTCCACAGCTAGCACTGGTCTGACTGGCTGCTGCCTTGCTGAGTGATTATCTGATGAGCTACAAGGTAAAAAGCACTAGATGAGTGAAGTCTTCCTGCTTGGTCTGGCCCACTTGCATGGAGCTTCACTCCACTCGTGCAATGGGTCGATCTCGGTATCCTCTTAATATTTCCTTCAGGACTTCTAAAGGCTGCTGCGTGAGGCTGTGAAAGACTGCCAAGGTCCTGTGAAAATGGCAGTGATGTATTCAAACAAACAGGGGCTGACAAGGATTAATAAACACCAAATAAAAGCAATTATGAAATCTGGTGCCAGTGATCCATACACAAAAGTATTCACTACTTGCAGCCTCTTATTGTTCATTTATTTACCTTTCATGCTAGTAGGGGCATATGAGAATTAAAAAGGGTAATTGTGACCACTAAAGAGTGCTGAAAACCCAAAAATAACAAACTGCTGTGATGAACGTATGATAAGGCAGCTGGGGGAGGATGGGTATTTAAAAAGGTACAGATCTTTCAGCAACATCTGTGACCTGAGCCTGGAAACAATACACTGAAGAGCTCATGATTAAAGTTGCAGACATCTACACAAAAGCTCTGAACCTTTGCGCGGATACTGTTTTCCCAATGTAGAGCAACCAATCCAATGATCTTTTGTGTGTCTACTGATCTACACTGGCTGACCCCCCCCCCCAATTATATATTTTAATACAGATGTATTACCGCAACCACTACGGCATAATCTTAAATTATGACCTGCTGTTAGTCATCTTCTCCTCAGTGGCTTACTTAAGTTTATGCTGGAGTATCAAGTTGGCACTTAGGGCTGGACAAGTCAAGCTACATAAAATATTATCATGGTGTTCGAACACTTGACTCTGCACGATTGTTGCTTTTAAGGCGACTAAGACGTATTAAGTTGCATAGCTGGGAGCACCAGGTCAAAGCCTTGATGCCAAGGGGTTAAATGAATTTAACACTTTGGGTAATAGAACTCTACAGATGTGGCCGTGGGCGACTTGCTTGTGGTGGAAAATGTGTGTACAAGTTTTCACAACGCTTTCTGAGAATAGAGCTGCAGAAAGATTGTGACACCTATAATTGGTCCACTTCACATCGCTGCAAAAATATGATCAACATTTTTCATTTTCTGCTGTTAAGTTTCGATTCAGCGTGGGTTATGAATGACATTTAACAGCTCGTTATTGTGCAGAAAAAGAAAATAAAGGCACCAAAGAGAAAGCACACATGAAACATCAAAGCACTGGATAATTTTAGCAGGATTAAATTTGCATTCTGATGAGGTTTGGGGAGCTCTGCAATGTTGAATGTCCTCTTAGTGAACTGCCTGCAATGCACTTACTACCAGTGCCACTCAGCTAGAGTCAAGTTAAAACTGGCACAGGACGGGTCAGACCGTCAGTCTGTATAATGAAGACGTACTGTTTAGTACGCTGGCACTTACCAGAGAGGGGGTTCCGGCCCAGTATCAGCACATTTGGTAAAGGCATCATCACCAGCTGTTGGAGACACTCCTGTCACACAAAGAAAGAAAACAAATGTTCAGCAAGGGAGCGCAATGTCAAATATTTATTTTTAAAAAAATAATTATGGAAAAGAAATCGAAGCAACTAAATCTAAACCAAGCCCAAATGTTACTTTAATTTGCCAGAGTTCTTGAGTATTGGACTCTAAATAGCTTTAGTAGCGCTACATACGTCTATCAGAGGATACTACCATCCAAGATTATCTTTTTTTTTTTTAGCATTGATTGTTTATCAATACATGGCTACATAGCAATAATTGAAATATTACAAGTATGATGCTCAGAGATTTGACAGTGTGGAAGTAGGAAGGTGAGATCCTTCCAAAGAAAGACAATTCTTAAATTTTTAAGAGTTACACACTGGGTGAGGCCAGATAAATCAATAGTATCTGGCTAACCATGAGATTCCGTGCATTGGTAGTGACTGCATATGTGAGATGATGCAAGTGGCAGTGGTGTGCATGTGGGTTAAATAGCTGGTGTGGTTTATGCCGCAGGGCCCTCTACATTCACATTTCAATCATCATAACCAAAATGAAACCAAACCAACAAATTACACTCAGGTAGACAAATGCACCAGTGTGTACATCTGCACATACTGACAATGTTTGTGTTGATGCTTTATTTTAGTCAAATTAAAGGTGCGGCAATGGTACAAAAACAGCTAGAAACAAATGACTTCAAATCATCATAATAATAAGATGTCTAATGCCATTTAAAAGGCTATATAAATTTCCTTTTAGAGGTCCACAACCATAAATAGATAATTTTTCACCCAAACTTTACATTGCTGCTCTCTCTCTGTATGCAACTCTATTCTAGACACAGTGTCTTTCAGACCACCTTTCAGAAAAGTTCTGTTTGCCTTGCATGGTCGGAACAAACAACAAGACAAAAGACTACTGTTGGCTAACCGTAAACCTCATGAGAACACGAGTAGCCATCAGCCAGTGGAGCCAGAACCAGAATCAGGCAAACAACGAGAACCTGCAACAGAAGACACTGTTTGGATGCCCTTACCATTTTCTCAAAGACCCGCACTGCAGCAAAAAAAGGCAACATGGAAACAAACCAACTCCCTCCCAGTCCGTGTTTACTGGTTTAAAATTGGCCTTAAAGTTTCCCCAGTTTCTGCCCCTTGCTGTTAAAATGTTGACATAACTTTGGCCTCTGGGCGCGTAATTATACCCACATTAGCCATGTAACAAAACAGCACAGAGTATTTTCCTGGTAGTGGTGTGGAAATCTTACTATAATACATGAAATCTGTCTTTCTCTACCAGCTCCTCCTGGACCAGTGGCTGAGCAACAAATCTGGCACATAAGAACTTTAGTATTTCTGCACCTAAAACGCCTGATGAAAGCACCCTATTATTTTAAATTAATGACAACATCATTTATATCCACAAATGACATATGATGTGATGACGCCATCATGGTGCCAATCAACCACCAAGCAGCAGACTAAAATTACCTATTTTCATCATATAAACAGCATCTACCAGCCCTATTTTTTGTGATCAAGTATATCAGTTTGGACGAAGCATGAAGAGGTAAAAATAATAGTATAGCCTGGGCTTGTAGTAGTAAAAAGTCATCAATGTCTGGCATTTAACCAAGACTTGAAGGTGCAGCCTGAGCTACTGTAAAAGAATAAAAATGTTGGTCTGTAGGGTGCTTGTTCTCTGCCGGAGGTCATTAGGCAAATAACAAAACAAAAAGCTGGACCCCAACAAGGTGTTTCAGACACCTAATAACAACTAGTATTTTCTGAAGTAGACGATTCCTTTTGACATGGGCTTTGTAACTTCTGCAGATATTACACATGCACAAAAAGGAAAAAACACAATAAATGAAAGTGGACAAGATGGGCAAAAGGTAAAATATGGCCTCCTTAAAAAAGGGAAAGAAAGGAAAGAAAAGAAAAACAGAGCAAACTGCCATAAAGCAACATCTGTAAAATTCAGAAAGTTCCAGCTAACCATCTGGTAGAAACTGTACACAGCTAACTGCCACAGTGTTCATGGTCTAAACTTTTAGAGCAGTATAAACCAACCCTAAACCACATGTCTGATTGCAAAGGAAGAGATGGGTTCTTTAAATAGAATATACATAAAGGTCAGCTAACTTGAATATTTCATACTTACCTGATGGCAGAGAACAACTTGAACTCATCTGACCTGACAGTCGACTATTCTGTGCAGTGCACTGCTGCAGTCATGACAACGAGGCTTATATTAGTAAAGGGTTTTGCAGAAGTTCTGCGTGTGCAGTAATTAACTGCTCTATACATACTCTGTGACCTCACCGTAGAAGGAGGAAAAAAAACAAAACAAAACTGACATCACTTGGTGGTGGCTGGCTAAAAACTGAACCACATCTGTTGCTGCTTTGAAACATTTCCAAAATAATCAACCAGCTACATTCAGCTGATGAATTCAAAATTGTATCCCTGTATAACAGGAACTAAATATATAATAGGAACTAAAAAAAACTACAACTTTTGGCCAATTTCACGTTTTCATTAATAGGCTCTCTTTACTGAGATATCGCTAAAAGACAGGTGAAAATATGCATATATTTATGTACACACAAGAAATTTCTAGATTTGCTTCAAAATCTCAGTGCAGCTTTTCCCATCTCCATATAACTGTTTGTACACATGGCTGCAGTTTGAGAAACATGTATGGGCCAGTATATTTTTCATGTCAAAGGAAAGTTAAGGAATTTAAGGAAATGTAAGTTGCAAACACAATTTCAGCACTATTCTCCTTATCAGAGTCCTGCAGCAGAAGCAGCAGCTCTGACAACCTTTGTCAGCTGTTTGGATTGATGAAGAGAGAGAGAACCGCCGGTTCACACAGGAAGGTATACAGAGGATGGGGTGACAGATGTTCAGTGCATTTCTCACATCTGGTTTTAAACAGATAGCCGCATAGTCTGAAAGACTGACAAATAACGAGCTATAACAAAAAGCTAGGGCTGTGCAAATAATTATATTTAATTATGATTTTCCATTCCATTGTTTGCTAAGGGTGCAATAATTCATAATCAAGATACAAATGACAATAATATATCAGTTTTGTCTTCATGTAGTGTCGTACCCATGTGGATACCTGTGTTTAAGAATTGGTCAGATAATGAGTGGACTGGAAATATATCAGAGTAAACCCGTTTATTGCCAAAATTGTTATTTTGCCCTCTCATCCCCTCTAAAGAAAAACTGAAGTAAAATGTTAAACGGTAGCTTTGGAAAATTGTTACAACCTTAACGACGAACATGAACAAAAACAATTTTTTTCTCCACTGTGACGTTTATCTTGAGCCAAGAAAGGAAGCCTTTAATTAGAGGACACAAACCTGCAGAAAAATCATTAATACTTCAACTGAATTAATGGATGATGTTCCTTAAGTTGAATATATGACCAAAATAATTGTGATTTTGATTTTTGGCTGTCATCAAATAGCACTACAACATGGTTCACATGGTCTTAGTTTGTTGTTGTCTTTTTTTAGACTGTAATATTTTAGTTGAAGAACATTAGACTCACCAATTTTCCTTTAATAATTTGATAACAGAAATGATGCACAGAGACGCTTCACTAAAATGGGGTAAAGGTGAGCGTAGGGGGTCGCAGTAACAGGCAGTAATGGTTATTAGGTCCGAAGCATTGTTGCCATGGTTTCATCCCAGTGGTGATAACAGCAGTGACCCTAGCTGCTATGTCTCTCTTCCTCTGTCTACACTGGTGTCTGAGCATGCACGGAGAAACGAAAGGAGTTATACATTTCCAAAGCAATTTCCAGAAAAGCTTACATATAATTTGCATTTCTGAAATTATAACTTCGCGTGCTTTTTGTAAAGAGCAATAAATGTTATAGCATTTTACAAGTACACATTTAGCAATAAACAAATGTGGTAATGGCAAATACAACACTGATAACAATGACAAAATGGAGCGATAACAGTGACCAATGTCTGGCTGTTCCAGGCCGAAGCGACCAAACGGCCATAACGTCTGAAGGCTGAGACAGATTGACTCAACAAGCGTCAGACAGAATAATCGGCGTATCTCAGACGCCCACAGTTGGCATCTCACAGAGAGGCATTTGGTGTGCCTGACAGCCAATTCACCATGTAGAACTCATGACAGCCGCTTTGGGTGAAATTCATCTGATTTTAAAGGGCAAAAATAGAAGCCAAAATATGCTAAAGGAAACGAAAGAGCCTGGAGTCACCGTCTAAAATTTGGGGAAATTTTGGGCACTCTGCTTTATTATCTCTTTGGTATTCAGAGTGAATAAGCGCACACAGAGAGCTACACTTCAGACTCACTCCATTGCTGTTTAATATAGTACCACAAGTTCAGCCTGGGGAAAAATATTTTTGCCTTTGCTGCTGTGGAAACCAGACAAGTTTTAAACATTTGTGCCTTTTTGATGGTAAAACACCAGCAGAACATGATTTTTATAAGGTCAACTGAGCATTTGCGAGTACTAAATAAATAAATAAAGAAGTCATTTACTAGATTGACACAAACGCACTTCTTTTCCTACAACCACCTGTCCCACTGCTGACCGCTGCTCTTCATCCATTCATGCTCACACCTGTCCCCTTCCATGCTAGCATGTGTTCGCCTTGCAAGCTCTGTTTTCTCGCACTCTCATTTCATGACAACCATGCAAAGTAATGACAACTGAGTTTAGTGCTTTATGTTCACACTTCAAGTATAGCTTTTCATTTGCAAAGGCAAACTTTCACTTTTCAAGGACCTGGATTTATATAATCATTTTGTTACTTTAATTTATTAGAATGTTTCCACTGACCATTTGTAAACATAAATAACTATGGAGAAATAGATCTTATAAAACAGTCTCAGGGCTCGCAAAAATCGCTAGCCCGACGTCCCGGAGCTAGCGATATCTCCGGTCGGGCGACCAAAATCTATCTCAGCCCCGCCCATTGGGTTATCATATAGCTATATTAAT